TGCACAACAGAAGCAAGGTGCAAGGCAGACAAATGGCTGTGATGATTCCACATTCCCAGCTGCTACATGGTGAACAGGATGAAAAAGTTTGCTGGCCCAGCTGGAACAACCCCCATACTCAAAAGTTCTAGAATTAAACTGCATTGGAAGAGAGGCAGAATGTCCACACACAAAAATAGATGCAGGAGCAGAGAACCAAGAAGTCATGTCCTGCTCTCTCATAACCCACCCTCCCTGCTGTGCCCCAGCAAAAGCTGAAGATAGGAAAGAACCTGACCTCTTAATTTTTTTCCCATTTATCCTCATATGAAATCTCTCCTGTGCCTTTTAATCATTTTATTTCGGTGTATTTGGACACTCTACGAGACAGGATCACCAACAATGAGCACATTATTCACAGTACGAGTTTACCATACTTTATACCACATCATGATATATTCATTATACATGCTGACTTAGGGTGCGGGAGGGGACGAGGGGGTCTACAAAGTTTTTTCAAGCTGGGTATCATTCTTGATGGCTCATGTAACAGGGGGCCTTACCGCGGCTGATTAGAAGTTGGCCCGCCCACCTGTTTCTAGGCAAACCGCCCACCTCTCTCGCCTGCCATGCCTTGTTGTTTAATAATTGGTGTCTTAATTAGGCAGGAGGCTGCTCTTTGGTAGCCCTGTTCTCCTGGACCTATGTATGCAGCTCCAACCACCCCTGTACTGCATCCCCAGCCTCATGAGATGACACATGAATGATGTTCCCTCACACCACAACTGGTGCTCCTGGGTCTCACAGGGACTCTCGCACCCTCCTTGGAGCAGCATGTCATTGTGCTCTCCCTTTCTGTAAATTCTGACCCACACTTGGCCTCCTCTCAGCAGAGGACTTGCTGGGGTCAGGACTCACTCCTAGTTTCCTGGCTGAGCCCCACTATTCAGCCTCAAACCCAACTACGGCCTCAGGTGTCTGAAAACATACCTTGGCCTAATCCCCACACATGGGGTTCCTACTATGCCTACCCTGGGGTCTTTTCATCATCTTCACACTCAACTACTCACAGGGCTGGCCCTTGTGCTACCCTTCAGGCTTACTCCCCATTCAGCCCTACTCAATGCGCCCCTGGGACTGCCCTTCACGCCTACACCCTGTTCAGCCCTACTCAGCCCCCTTCACACACAGACCTTCAGGCCTACTCCTGATCAATACTACTCTGTGTGGGGCCACATACATCCCTGCCCTCTCAGGGCCTTCACAATTATCCCTGACCAGGGGCCTCCGGAGTCTTCCTCTCCTGCGGGCTCAGCTGGCTGCAGCTGTGCCTGGCCCCACTCCTCTCCTGGGGACTTCTACCCTCTAGGGCTGAGGTGGCCGTAGCCATGCCTGGCCCTCGTACCCATCAAATTGTGGGGGCTACGGGTTAAGGCGCCCCGACCCGCCTTTCACCAGGGTGGTAACTGGCCTGGCATTTCCTGGGGCTCTTGCACCACCAGGAGCCCCAACAGGCCACCCATCCCCAGCTGGGTGCAGTTTTAGGTCATGCCCAGGACCAAGAGCATCCTAGCCATCCCCATAAGATCTTGCCCTTCCCTCCTAGTGTTCTTGCTGCAGCTCCGCCCGGCGATGTTTCTGCCTGGGCTGGCAACAGCAAACTGCAGCCTTTATATACCTGGTTCTCATAATGGCTGCCACCATCAGGCACCTGCTAGCTGCCTGACTGTGCACTTAAAGTGGCAGGCACCCAAAAGAGCACTGCCACACTCAGTAATAGATTTACTACAGAAGACAATGGTAAATACCAAATAACCAGGTCACAAAAGCATCAAGAAAATAAAGTTTACTAAATATATCTAGCACTGGTGTTGATCTAGTAAAGGATCACCTTGAGAGGCTGAACACCTTCAAGTCAGCTGGTCCTGACAGATTACACCCTAGAGTACTCAAGGAGCTGGCAGGTGTCATAGCCCAACCAATGGCAAAAATATTCAAAAACTCATGGTGCTCAGGTGAAGTACCTGAAGACTGGAAGAAGGCCAATGTGGTACCCATCTTCAAGAAAGGGAGGAAAGTAGATCCCGGGAATTACAGGCCAATCATCTTGACCTCAATCCCCGGTAAGATTCTGGAGAAAATTATCAAGGAGACCCTTCTGGATAAGCTGGCTGAGGGCAACATCCTGAGGGTTAGCCAGCACAGGTTTGTTGCAGGTAGGTCTTGCCTGACCAATCTCATCTCCTTCTATGACCAGGTGACATATCACATGGACAAGGGAGAAGAGAGTGACATCATATATCTGGACTTTAAGGAAGCCTTTGATCAGATGTCCCATGACCTCCTCATGGAAAAATTGGCTACACCACAGTCATCAGCTACACCACAGTCCAATGGCTGGGAAATTGGCTCCGCGGTCAGACCCAGAGAGTAGTGGTCGATGGTAGCAAATCATTATGGCACTCCATGACCAGTGGCATCCCCCAAGGCTTTGTCCTTGGACTGTTTCTCTTTAACATCTTTATCAACAATGTGGAAATTAGTATCAGAAGCACACTGGCTAAGTTCGCCAGTGACACTAGCATCCACACCTGAGGACAGGCTAGTGATCCAGGCTGACTTGGATAAACTTAGTAAGTGGACAGATACAAACCTGATGACATTCAATACCAATAAATGTAAGGTACTCTACCTCAGGGGGGGGGAAAAAAAACGCAGCATACTTATAGGCTCAGCAGTGCTACGCTTGTTAGCACCAGGGCTGAAAGAGACTTGGGGGTCATGACTGACCACAACATGAGCCACCAATGCAATGTTGCAGCTGGTAAAGCAAACAAAATTCTGGCTCGAATCTCAGGATGTCATCCTCCTGCTGCACTCGGCCTTGGTGAGGCTGCAGCTGGAGTACTGCATCCAATTCTGGGCTCCACAATTCAAGAAAGATGTCGAGAAGCTTGAGAGAGTCCAGGGGAGAGCCACGTGCATGATCAGAGGGCAAGAGAATAGGCCTTATCAAGAGAGGCTGAGAGCCATGGGACTTTTCAGTTTGGAAAAGCGCAGGCTCAGGGGGGACCTGGTGGCTGCCTGTAAGTACATAAGGGGTTTGTATCAGGATCTGGGAGAACGCCTGTTCCCCAGAGCGCCCCAAGGAAAAACAAGGACCAACGGTCATAAACTCCTCGGAGACCGATTCAGGCTGGACGTAAGAATAAATTTCTTTACTAAGCCCCCAAGACCTGGAATAGACTCCCTCCAGAAGTGGTGCAGGCACCTACTCTGGACTCATTCAAGAAATGTTTGGATGATTATCTTGCTGGGATCCTTTGACCCTACCTGACTTCCTGCCCCTGGCGCAGGGGGCTGGACTTGATGATCTTCAAGGTCCCTTCCAGCCCTAACGTCTATGACATCTATGAAATAACTAGTAGTAGCATTCAACTAATAGCAAATCACTATCCAACCATCTTTAAATCAGAAAAGATGCAGGTACATCCTGGAAGAAATGTCCTCCTCCAGGTACCTCAGCTCTAGCATAAGAATTTAGGCTGCTAGCAGTCATTCAAAAAAACCCCAAAACAAAAAAAGTGCTTTACCAGAAGAAGCAGCATGTTACTTCAACCTAGGTCTGCAGTGTCAGCAAATATCAGCGGGGTTTTTTGGCACTCTTAGCTAAAAATGATTCACAATTAGTCATTAAGTACAAGTGCCAAAAAGCCCCACTAAAGCATCCGATCTTTACAGACGTTGGGTGAGCTGGGTTGAAGTAAGGCATGCCGTTTTGGTTTTTTTACCTCTGCAAGCACCCTTAAATGACAAGCCGCTGCTGTTTATAACACTGACATCCAGTTTCAAAGATTAACTGGTTATAAAGAATCCATGATAGTCTAGTATAAAGGTATTACCTGCTTGAACCTGAAATGGCTATATAAGTGACTAAGCCAGAAGTAAGCCATTAGTTCAACTAAAACACCCAGTTGAAAGTACGAATGCACGATGGGGGAGTATGTGTGTGTGGATTTTTTTTTCTGAGATTTTAACAAAAATTTTCATATGCTTCAATCTATAAAGACAGGCTGTACTATGAATTTAACGATAAAGTTGTCAGAAGATGAAAAGGATTATAAATTTACAAACTTCTTCAAGTACTTAGAAAAATCCTTCCCTCTGATTTTTATATTTTTGAAGACAAACAGAGGCAGGGTACAATCAGAGAATTCAACTACTCAATGTCCTCATGCCCTAGTGCTGCGATGGAGATGCTGCCAGGAGTGAGATAGTAGGGGCAAGCAGAAGCTGTGGGTCAGGAGTGAGAGCCAGTGAGGGGGTGGTGGGCTGGGAGTGAGGGGCAAGGGCAGAGCATCAGTGCTACTCAGCATCCCACACCCTGGTAAGCAAAGGGGGAAGGGCCAGCTTTTTATATTGCTGGGGTCAGCACAGGTGCTGGTTTATCTCTAGCTTCCCCTGGCAGAAGATCTGGGAGGAGCTGGGCAGGGTCAGTTTGACCCAAGAGGCACAATTTGCCCCTCACCAAAGTGTACGTTCAGGCACGTGTGCTGAGGAACAAATCTCTGGCACAAATTTGTGATATTGCTATTTGAACTACTGCAAGTGTAAGTGTCTGCATGTGTGGAAGCACCCTGTGAGTCTAAAAAAACAAAAAACCTACTATCCCTACAATCTGACTGTTCAAGAACTGTTCAATGATTCCAGATAAAGGACCTGTGGGATGATATGAAGATGACAGACCTGCTGATATTGATGATAGACTTGCTTAGGCTACCATGAAGTGCCTTTTAGTAAAGGTATGCTATAGGTACACCTAGAACAAAGAGACATTTTTGTAAAATGTTTGTTGTTTTAAAAATCTTATGTCACTTAGGCAATGACATAAGAAGAGATATGTAGCTAGTCCTGTAATCACAAAAAATGAGTGCTTGAACTTTCAACCTTAATATACTTTAATTTTTTTGCATGAAACACTGAAAAAATATGTATGAACTTAACAATAAATATCATCATACCTTTTGACCCATGATTATAGGCAGCAAGTGGTCCAGTAAATTGAATTCAGCCATTGGGACTGTAATGGTACATTTAAGTATAGTAAAGCTTGTGAGTCGAGTAGGAATGTATTCCTCCAAAGATGCTACTTCTGAGTCTGGCATAGTTTGATTTCCATCTATAATATCTAAAATAGGTCATGATTATATAAACAAACTAAGCATAAGACTAAAAGTAGCAAAATATTTTCTACAATAACTATTCAGATATTTTTTGTTGCTTAGTAGATGTGAATAGTGTGTGTGTGTATGTATGTATGTATGTATGTATGTATGTATGTATGTATGTATATATATATATATATATATATA